ACAAAAAAATCGGATTCAGAAAAAAATTACAAACAAGAAAAGGTGACAAAATCTTTCATTTCCTGAGAGTTCATTAATTTATAATTTTTTCGTATTTCGGTGATACAAAAGACTGCGCACCTTTAATTAGTTGAGTTCAGAGAGAAATCAAACAAGTAATTTGGCCTGGAGCGGCGCGGCGCAAAGAAAAATGATGACGAGGACTTGAGATGAGAAGGAGAAGCCCTCGACGCGGCGGTTGGCATGTACCACATATTAGCGCCTACGAGGCTGCATGAATACTTCACGCATTGCGTCAAACACAGTACGGTCAACAGTGGTCGGCGCGGCGTGAAACGCACAGTCCCTACAAGACTACACGAATACTTCACGCATTGCGCCAAACACAGTGTGGTCAGCGCGGCACGGCGCGGCGGCGAAAGTTAAAAATATTAAACCACAATTATGTTTGTCCTTTCTTAATTGTTAGCTCATCTCTTACCAATGAAAGGCCTTGTCCCCACAGAGATAGGTTTACGGAACTGAACTTTCGCGCGAAGTTCCGTGAACTTTTGCTAGTAGTGTTGACAGAGCTTACGCAAAAAATGTGTCCATCACTTGAGTGAACGCGTCTTATGCACCCTTCTCCCTCCGGCACGTTTACTTGATGGTTTTTATTGATGTTTCAAAATTAATGAGAAGAGGGCGGCAAAATACAGGCGGCCCATGGGCGGCAAGTAGGTAAATCCGGCCATGATTGTAGATGACTTTTTTCAGCCTTTCCAAGAATTCTATCAAAAATTTTGCGAAGAATTACCCAGTGATACTTGGCCCGTGATACTAGTTCCGCAAACCGTTGCTCGTCAGAGCAGGTCAACAGGGCCTAATTGTAAGCCTAAAATATCGATGGCCTAATTGCAAAACACGTATCTCCATTCCTGAGTTTCAAAATGTTCGCTCCTTTTATTTTTTGCAGTGAATCAAGTCAATTATTAGCTTGAACTTTATACAAAGTATTCTGCTAACACAGAGAAGAAAAATCAAGGTAGTTTTCAATAAATTACATTCATAGCTACCCAATGAAAAATAATATGATGAGATAAGAAGTCTGCAGAGTCGCGAACAGACATGCGTGGTTTCGCACTTTGGCCATCGGTACTTTGTCTTTGGTTTCACAATCGAAAATCCACTGTGAAAGAGAGAGGGATCAGTGACGGTCGTGTGCTACTGGTGAAGTTGGATGAGTGGTTTTATTTCCGTGAACGACAGGAACAGTAGCAGTCGGTCGTGGAATTGAGCCGGGCTCTTGGCACCGAACTATTACGTAGCCGCATATCTTTAATGACTGCCAGCACCGATTCAGGCGAGGAGGAGGGGAGCCGGTAAGTGTTAGTGAACCTGAGACAGGTGACGTAGGCCGCTCAATGGCTCAATGTCCAGGTTGCCCTGTCCCTGTCCTTACCATCATGGGAAATTGCGGCAGTTTTCCAGTCTCAGATCCTCGCAACCTTGTTGCCACTATTTGAAGCGAAGTCGCGAGAAATATCAAAGGAGACTCTTCAGATCGGCGGGCCAATTATTGAGGTTGACAGACCGAGAAGGCCAAAGGCATAGGGAGGAATCCTATTGGTGGAAGCGGATGGTTGCAATTGACAAAGGAGGTAAGTAATGGACTAACTAACGGCAGCCTAGTTCATCATTTTCTCTCTTAGTCTACAGGAACCATGCATTTCAACCAATAGGATCGCTCCATACACTCTATATGTCTTCTTTGCCTATCACTTTGTCTATCATCAATTTCAGTCATCACCTGCAGCAATAAGGAACTACAATTACTTGCTCAGTTCAGAAATAATGTATGCACCATTAGTTTCCCTATACACATAAATGTTTATACGCATAAGCCAAAAATTTTGGTTTCTAATGGCTAGATGAAGTCCATATGTGACTACCAAACTCGCGCTATGATTCTACAATCGAATTTTGTGTTTTAAATCGAAAGATAAAAGAGAGAGGACAGGTACCTATTGCCTTTTTTTACTAGGGCCCTCTTAAGGCGTTTCTGCTTCTATAAAAATCGGTTTTGTGGATTTGCGCCCTTCAACCAGAAATCAATTAATTCGTGGATCAGTATTTAGTCGGCGTGCATTATTTCTTAAATGGACGTATTTATGCTAAAAGGGACGATGTGAAAATGAATTTGATAAGAGAAAACATAGCATGCAAACCCTATGCAGTATACACATAGATCACTGGAAAAAATTGTCGTTTGTATCTAGAGTTCAGACTCTTAAAAACATCGACAAGAAATATACTCTTAATACAATCAGACTTTTTGCTTGCCTCAAAAGGAAATCCGCCTAAATCAAGAGGCTCGGCTCTTCGATTCAAGAAAACATCGGATTGAATCAAGAGTATTTTTTTTTTGGTCAATGTTATTAAGAGTCTGGACTCTTAGATTCAAGCGACTTTTTTCCAGTGATCCTTATTATTCAATTCATTTGCGTATTGTTCTGTTTAGCAGAAACACGTCGAAATGTTCATCACATGCAGTTGGAAAATTAGGGCGTATTTTTGCATGGATTCATCTCCTACTTTGAAAACGGCAACAGTGCTCGGGGGACGAGTGACCGATGAGGCATGATGATCGGGAATCGGGGAGCAAACTGGAGGCACACGGAGCAGTTGTCAAGACCTGTCACAGTTGATCAAAATCGGAGCACGTAACCGAGCACACTCACCACTCACCGACCGTCGGCCTCACCAGCCGGCAATGATGACGAGTAGGACACAACAGTTTCAACAATTTCACGACTGTTGTCTTTCGCTAGCATCCAAGACGCGAGCGCCGCGATGTCGCTGTGCAGGTCAGGTCAGCAGGAAAATCCAATGAACAGCAGGCTGATTTTTGGAGTTTATAGACAAAGTTTTAGACAAAGAAGACAGAAGGGATATTGAGGGATCCGGATCCTATTGGTTGAAAAATTTAGTTGCAATGGACAAAGGAGGTACCTAGGTAATAGACTAACTAACGGCAACCCACGAGAGACCCTATACTTAGCCAATCATTTTCTCCCCTAGTCCCTATATAGGAACCAACCATTTCAACCAATAATCGTTCCATACTCCTTACGTCTTCTTTGTATAGACACAGAAGCTCTATCTATCAATTTTAACAATCAACCCGCAACTCGTTTTCAGAAAAATCTCAAACGTTAAAACTCCTTAAAACTTTGATGCCTTCGCGTATAAAGCTCCCGTGGTCGTTCTTAAAACCGCTCTTCCGCTTATAGGAAGGCACTGTGATTTAAATTGGGATTTGAAGAGATTTTAGATTTTCTTTGGGGTAGCATCATAAAAATTTAAAAGAGAAAAAAACTAAACTTGACTACGTATTTTCTCATGTGATTGAAAATTATCATTGAACGAGTTCCCAGCGTCAAATGCGTGACAAACACGATAAAAATGCAAATCACACTTTTTCAGACGGAAACTTTGGAAGCTCGAGAAATATTCCGAGATCTGTTTTGTGAAGATAAGAAGAGATCATTCGAACCATCTCAGAGACTTAAACGCCGAGAAGAAAAAAACAACGCCTATCAATACTTAGCAGCAAGCGTGCTATGCGGTTAGAACTGCTAACGAACCATATTACACTCAATGGCATTACTAGAACTTTTTCAAGGGGAAAGGATCATCAGTTATAAATTTATTACCGAGGAGGGGGGATTCTAGGGCAAAAAATTCCTGAAAATCCTAATAAATGACTTTTTTGGGGAAAGTTTCTGATCAAGAATCCAGACCCCAGGGCTCGTGCTCTGGCTACGCCACTGAATGCACTGCCATTATCGATGCGGATAATACTCAGTTTAATGTTCAACATCGTTTATACTTACAGCCACGCGAGCGAGATTAATAATATTACACAGCCCTCGCTCGGCATTCATGTCCGTTTCCTTGAAAGCAATATGAAGATTAATTGTACACCATATACTACTACATTAGTAGACGCTGAATGAATGAATGAGTGAATAAATGAATGAATGAAATGATAATGCTTTAACCTGGGAGTGAAATGGGACAAATTCTTTTGTGGTCGATAGGAGCCACCTACTGGGAATCATTCCAGAATAGGCCGATTAAGTAGGACTATTTAGTATTATAAAAACCGGTTGGCTCGACGTAAGAACCATTCTTCCTCCCCGCACTCCGCACCCAACTCGCCGGATTCTAGCGTAAGCGTCGCCCCTATTCATGAATGAGTATGCACAAGCTTTTAAAATGTCATTTGTCGTCGTGCGAAGTCAGCAGGCTTTCTGAGTATGATACGTCGTGTTAAAGTTCATCGTAAAATACTAAAAAAAAATGCAATTTTCCGAGCACTCGATGAAAAAAAGACGTCATTTACGACGTAAAATTTTAGAATGGAACACTGGAAAATATTTTAAAAAGAAAAACACTTAAATGAGTATCTTAAAAAAATAATCTTACGTCGATTCATACAGTAGGCAGTTCGCACTCGACCCCTAATCTATGTATACTCATGAAAATTTTATTTCCACTGGTCTGAGGAAATTATGTTAAGCAATTGTTAGAGCTCACGTCAATAATTCCGCATGAATGGCTTTTAACTACTCGACCAAGTAGCACGCTTGCTACTAACTTTTGATGCGTTTTTTTTCCTTCTCGGGCGTTAAAGTCTCTAAGAAGTTCGAATAATATTTTCGCTTTAGCTGTTACAAACAGAAAATCTTTAAAGCTCCATTGCTGTTATAAGAAAATAAAGCATATAAATGCTTCATTNCTGAAAATATTTTCATTCGATTCTTTGGGGTCGATTTACCCTATGAAAGTTTTGGTCCCGAAGCTCAATTCTCCGCCGTTTTCGAGAAAAATATGGTGGACGGGTGGTCTGGATCACCCTGTATATGTAATATACGTAAAATATAAGTTATATGTAGAGTATGCATGCGTTGATTATCTAGAATCTTAAAAACATACATGCAGGTAAAAAGGCTTACCTTGGAAGGAGTATATCCTTGGCAGCAAGATAAAAAGGAGACAAATGGAGGTGAGCCATCGCACGGACCGACAATTTTCACTAAACAAAATCACTAATTTTTTCTTCATTTTGAGAGGGTATTGTGCATTTTACACGATAAATACACTGTCACATTTCACTGCACATCCGCCGAAATGGAGGAACTCCAAACACATCAAACTCGGTTGTTTCCAAACGCACATATATTCACGTAGCATCCTGAACGACCGCCCATCGAGCTGCACTCCGAGGGCAACAGTTGGCGCTTCTGATTTTGGAAAATATATTTTCCGACGGAATACGAACACTCCTAGTCGCGCCTGAAACAGACAGAAATAATGGCTCATTAGTTAAAGAAAAAGAATTGATTCAGTATTTTAAAATCCAAAAATACAGCTGTTGCTGTCATCCTGAAAATATATTAATGGGTATTTTTAACACAGATCAAGTGGATCGTATTTAGCGAAAAGAAACCAACGCATTACAGTGTTCACTGAAAAAAAAAACACATTGGGTCTAGAGTCTAGACTCTTGAAAACATTGACAAGAAAAAATACTCTTGATTCAATCAGATTTTTGCTTAAATCAAAAGGAAATCTGCTCAAATTAAGAGGCTTGGTTCTTGATTTAAGCAAGAATCCGATTGAATCAAGAGTATTTTTTTCTTGTCGATGTTTTTCAGAGTCTGGACTCTAGATCCAATGTGTTTTTTTTTTTCAGTGTTGTAAAAAATTAGCTTCTTCATAATTATCTAAAAATTCTCCCAGAATAGCAAATAGTTTTAGATTCCCGCCAAAAAATTGTTAATTTTAAAGGAAAATACTAATTGTGTGAATTTTAAAACTGTACAAGTATTATGTATTCTTAAAAGAAAGGGAGAAATTTTACCATTTTGAAAACACTGTAATCGCGCTGGTTTATTTCTGCTACCTGCGATCCACATTAAAATTAGATCTATACGAATGTCGTCATTTGTATTTTTTAATGAAACCAATGGTAATTTTAAACACTTTCAATTGTTTCGGAGCTGATTTTCTAACATCCTCCGTGATTTCTTATCCGCGTGAAATTTCACAGTGAGAAGATGATGCGTAGTGCTTTCATTCATTCCTTGTTTACAGACCCATTAGTATGGCGGCACACAGAAATGAATTTGTAAAACATCAATCAATTTATCAAAATTACATTGGATTCAGATCCTTGCCCACGGCCGAGCACAGCCTGTGGACGAAGACTGCTGCAGACTGACTCATCAATTGTCATTACACACGTACCCATTCATGAGAGCCAGCCCGCTGCAGATCACACAAATCAGTCACTAATTGAATTCCGATCTGAACTCGTCGAATCAGTCGAATCATTCCGGCTTCCTTTTGACTCACGTTGCCGTGGCGAACACACGAACGTTACAATCTCTCCCTCGGCTATAGACGACTTAATGTTATATTCGCGTATTACAGAGAAAAATGGCTGCGTCTCGATGATTCGCCGGGAGCTTCCTACAGGGCGTTTTGATAGTGATGATTTCCGCTTTTCGACGTGACTTTTTATTGATACAAAGTCTCTGTATAGGCTTTCAAAAACCGACCAGCCCAACGCGGCGTGACTGTGGTTTTAGATCGAGCAAAAGGTCATTATTGATCTAGTTGAGTCATAGCCAAAATACGAACTAATAACTTATCGCTTATCAATTTGTACAAGTTTAAAAATTACATGCATTCCCACGAAAAAACCAACGAACGGCAACTAATGCGGGTTTCCTTTATTTTTCTTGGGGCTAAGAGGCTCCAAACTCCCAAGTTGCTTAAAAAAATGTATCGCGTATTGTGAGGCAGAAATTCTTCATGCACAAATAGGGAGCGAATACATTGGCAAGGTTGTCATTTCTGCAGCCTTGGAATGTCCCTGCAAAGTGGCAACCCTCCTAATGTATTCGCTCCCTATCGGTAGATGGACAGTTCGACGGTACGTAGATACGGAATATGGGATCTCCTCCATTAAAGTCTCGACTTTCAGAGCTTTTATGAGCTTGTGAATTAGTTTCAGGTTAAAGCAGTCGCACCATTGTGTTTCTCGCGCGGTCTTACACGGTCATAAACGGATCCGGGGGGGCGTAGGGGGCATACGACCCCCCGTTCGCCCGGAAACAGGAGGGGAAAAAAGGAAGAAAGGAAGAAGGAAGAGACGGAGGAAAGAAGAAGGAAAAACGGGTATATTTGATAAGGAATCATGACGAAATTGACTCAAACTGCATGTTAGATGTTTTTAAAATTTCGAACATTTTCGCGGGGAAACCCTCGGGCCCCTCCTCCGCCTCCCGCGTTCAAAATGTCTGGATCCGCTTAAGTCACATAGACTCATGTGTTTCAATCGCTAAGCTTCGTGGCAAGACAGGACTCCATCGCAAGAGAAAATTATTCGGGAAAGCTCTGAAGAATCGATTTTCCATAAGCGGGAATTAGAAGATTGCGGAGTTCTCCTGGGACGGAAAATCCTGGGAATCCTGGGAATGTCTGGATCCGCTTAAGTCACATAGACTCATGTGTTTCAATCGCTAAGCTTCGTGGCAAGACAGGACTCCATCGCAAGAGAAAATTATTCGGGAAAGCTCTGAAGAATCGATTTTCCATAAGCGGGAATTAGAAGATTGCGGAGTTCTCCTGGACGGTTCCTTGCCACAGCGGTATAGCGGTCGAATCGACTTGTCACCTGCGAAGGAATTCGAAATGAAAAAGAGTCTCCATCTGAGCCGTAATTTCACGGATGAATTTGTATTGGCACTGAATACAGAAACACAATCCGGCGCTTGGGTCCATCATGCAGGTAAGCGGAGGCGAAGACGAAGACAGGCGGGCGCAGCGGGCAGCATAAGCGGGAACAAGCGTCATTTCTGTCGTGCTGAAGAAAAACGCCGTATGAACCTTCAGGCGTTGCCAAATTTCCTTCGATACAACACGATTTTCCTGGTGAACTTGGGAATATTTTCCTTCCAGTTTTTCAAATAATTTTGTTCGCAATCTCAACTGAAGTTCCTGAAAATTTCAAGGAAAAACACTCATACCGTTCCGCAAAAATGAGCATTTTATCGAGGGAAATTTGGCAACTCTCGAATGTTGATACGGCGTTCTTCCTCAGCACGGGAGATTTGGAGGGCAACGATCGGCTTCGCCCGGTCCCGGTTTCATGGCGGGCAACGGCAACGGCAACGAGGAAGATGAACGACATCTATTCGCGTGCAATGAGTTCAGCTCAATCCGAACTAATCTCCGGCCATTGTTGATGCAAAATCGAAATGGGAATGAGAGGGAGTCAATGATAGGCCACGGAGTGCCAGTGCCCGGTCGTAGGGCCGCCGCCGCCGCCGCCACGGTCTTGCTTTGTAGCCTGAGAAAACAGACAAATTATCCCACCGCTGCATAAACGCCGAATCGTGCAAAAACGCGACACCGTCTGGGAGGATGGGTGCCCGACTGCCCGTAGGGGCCGTTTTAAGATTGCCTGTATTATTTCCTCAGAATCAACTTTCAACCAAAATTTATGTACGTCTGATTTATTTTTAAATACTTTTCAAGGTGCTCCGCGGTTTGTAGCATCATCTATCTCGGAATTAACGCTCTGCTCTTAATTTATGGCTTGTTGTACCGCTACATTTTCCATACCACCTCTGTTGGGTCACGAGAGATCAGGTTCCGGTCTCGCTCGCTGAGGGTCCAAATCAGAGGCGCAGGGACCGAAATATGTGAACGGAAAGTTACACGAATTTTCATTTTTTCCCTCTTTTTTTTTTTCCTTTTTCGTTTTTCATGTTGACCTGCCCATCTAATTTTTTCCGCTGTTCCCGCCTGGCCAAGGACAAGCGGAAAGGTTTTTCCTGTTAAATGTTGTCCTGCAGATCTGCCGTGCTAAGGAAGAACGCCGTATGAGCCTTCAAACGTTCCCAAGTTTCCTTCGATAAAACCGAATTTACTGGGAAAATTGCAAATATTATTTTCTAAAATTTTCAAACAGTTTTTTACGCAATTTAATCTAAAATATGTGAAAATTTCAAGTAAAAATATGCATAAATTTGTCAAAAATACATGTTTTATCAAGGGAAATTTGGCAACTCTCGAATGTTCATACGGCGTTCTTCCTTGGCACGGCAGAGATCCTTAGATGAGTTTTCACTAGCCCCTGGGAATCCACGAAGCACACTCTGATGGCCACCATGCTAGAGATTAGACGAGGTTTTATTTGAAGGGTTGAGAGCCAGTTCGCCTGCATTGCTACGTTGCAAATTTTCCGTTGACAATTTATTCAACTCTCTGAAGCACCTAATCTCAGTGTATGTTTTTAATTACAACCTGCGCATCATTCCTTTATCTACTCATGTCTCTATTTGCCTTGTCTCGCAAGAGAGCGATTTTTTTCCTATAAGGGGGCAAATGTCTTTTCCTAGATGAGCCCTGAAGCTCTAATATGTCGTCGTGCATTTCAGGGTCCATTTGAAAAGAAATATAATCCCCTGTTTTGAAAAATATTGGTTCAAGAAGTTAAAGAGGCTCCAAACATGTGATTAGTACTCTGTGCTGTGGAACACGGGGCCCTGCGAGGCATTTTAAACGTGGGGCAATTTTACTTTAAAAAGAGAGAAAGAGAGAGAGAGAGAAAGAAAGGGGAAAACGTCCACCATTGTATATTTATCGAATTACTCCATGTTCGTTCTGCTCAAGGCGATCGTTTTCGACCTACCCCAGTCTAGCGTACTAGTTGATCGTGTTTTGTAACTCCCTCCAAGACTAACTCTTTGTCTTCAGCTACTTCGCCATAGTTGCCGTGTAACACAAATTATTGCACAAAGGCGCTAAAAAGATGTTTTTAAAATACATCTGAAAACAATAAAATATTTAACATGTGTTTTTTTTTTTAAAAACGGGACTTCCTGAAATGATTCAAAACCACTTAACATTAAAAGAGATAATGTAAGCTTCTGAAATATGTTTTGAAGTCGTAAATCAATCATTTTAAAGATTTTTTTAAAATTTTTATAAGTCACTTAAAGACAAACAAGTTTAAAGTCATTTTTGAATCATTTTTAAATATATTTCTACTGGTTTTAAGAGAATATTTTTGATCGGATGATAAATGTTATTCTAACACTTAAAACAGCTTCGAACAAAATGCGATTCTTGCTTGTTTTCACAACATAGGTATTACGAGTGTTGCCTCCAAACAAAATACGACTCGTTACGTAGCTCAAGTGCAATCCCTTGCCATTGAAAGTGTTTCTGTGATTTCTAACCACGAGGTCAAGTTGGCATCATTCGCTCCACCATCGGCT